AAAAAAAAAAAAAAAAGAGATCTTGTTCAGGCATGGTGGCTGACGCCTGTAATCCCGGCACTTTGGGAGGGCAGGGTAGGTGGATTGCTTGAGCTCAGTAGTTCAAGGCCAGCCTGGACAACATGGTAAAACCCCATCTCTACCAAAAATATAAAAATTAACAGAATGTGGTGGAACACGCCTGTAGTCACAGCTGCTTGGGAGGCTGAGGTGGGAGGATCTCTTGAGCCTGGGAGGTGGAGGTAGCAGTGATCCGAGATCTCGCTGCTGCACTCCAGCCTGGGTGACAAAGCGAGACTCCATCTCAAACAAAAAGAAAAAAATAAAAAGGTGGTGGCTGACATCTGTAATTCCAGCACTTTGGGAGGCCGAGGTGGGTGGATCACGAGGTCAGGAGTTCGAGACCAGCCTGGCCAATGTGGCAAAACCCCGTCTCTACTAAAAATACAAAAATTAGCCATGTGTGGTGGTGGGCGCCTATAATCCCAGCTACTAGGGAGGCTGAGGCAGGAGAATCACTTGAACCCAAGAGGCGGAGGTTACAGTGGGCCCAGATTGTGCCATTGCACTCAAGCCTGGGTGACAAGGACAATACTCCATCTCAAAAAAAAAAAGATGTCTTTTGTAGAGATATAAGTACAGGATTTAACAACAAAAAAAACTTTTGTTAAATTTAATAATAGTCATTTTGGCTTGTTTAATTTTAATGAGATCTCATCCCCTAACTCCTATATTTTTACCTTTTATGATCTTGTAGACAAAACTGTTAACATTGTAGTAGATTAAAAAAAATACATTGGTTGGGTGTGGTGACTCACACTTGTAATCCCCAGCCCTTTGGGAGGCCGAGGTGGGTGGATCACTTGAGGCCCAGAGTTCAAGACTAGCCTGGGCAACATGATGAAACCCTGTTTCTACTAAAATAAAAAATTTAGATGCATGTGGTAGCATTCACCTGTAATCCCAGCTACTTGGGTGGCTGAGGTAGGAGAATTGCTTGAACCTGGGAGATGGAGGTTGCAGTGAGCTGAGATGGCGCCATTGCACACCAGCCTGGGTGACAGAACAAGATTCTGTTTAGAAAGAAAAAAAGATTCTCATAAGTTGTATATTGTATATGTATATTGTCATACCATCTGTAAATAAAGATAACTTGCTTCTCTGTACATGTGTCACACAGTGATGTTTTGATTAATGAAGGGTCACATATATGATGGTGGTCCCATAGGATTATGATAATGCATTTTTACTGTACTTTTTCTATTTTTTTAACTGTATCTTCTCTGTGTTTAGATATTTACTATTGTAATTGTCTATGGTATTTAGTATAGTAACATACTGTACAGATTTGTAGCCAGAAGCAAGAGGCTATGCCATATAGCTTAGCTGTGTAGTAGGCAATACTGTTTAGGTTTGTGTAAGTACACTCTGTGCCGTTTACACAATGATGAAATCGTTAAGCGATGCATAACTATATAATGTCGTATCTCCAAATAAATTATCAATTATTCTTGAACATTTATATTGATGCATTAATTTACTTTCCTTGTTTTATTAGCTGGGACCTCCAAATCATTTTTTTTTTCTACAGTAATAATACTAACTAGGCTTCTTTTCTTTTTCTTCAGCTTAGTGAAATAATTTGAGCTGTTAACCATCTTAATTCTTATAAATTCTTTAACGTTTAAAGATAGAGGATTTCTCCCTTTCCATTATGTTACTAAAATGTTAGTTATTTTTGAATAAATAATCCAAAATGAAAAGTTTTAAAAGAACACACAATGAATTATCCTCTTCCTTCTACTTCCCCAGGCACTGACTCCCCTCTGTAAAGCCATCAATATTACCAGTGGTTTTTAAATCCTTCCAGAGAAACTTGGTGTAGATATAAGCAAGTCCACATATGTTTATATGCATATTTCTTGTATTTAATTTTATTCAAATGATAGTCAATATGTTCTCTTCTGACCTTGCTTTAATTTTTAACTTAATATATCTTGGAAATCATTCCATATCAGTACGTGTAGAGCTGCATCATATCCCTTTACATATAGATGTACTGTT